GCCACCACACAGGGAGTCCAGCATTCATGTATAAGCCCTAAAGCACCGAGCCCAGAAGGCCCCAGACACTGCCCATCATCATAAAGTGGCCTCCGTGGTCACACAACCCAGGGTGGTTCTAGGCACATCTCCCCGCGGGCCAGCATAGTCATCAGTGTGTCAAAAGCACAGAGATCTCTGGGGGTTTGGGTCAGCTCACAGATCCTTTTTTTTTTTTTTTTTTAGCTTTTATTTTAAGTTCAGGATTACATGTGCAGGATGTTCAGGTTTGCTACATATGTAAATGTGTATCATGAGAGTCTGTTGTACAGATTATTTCATCACCCATATATCGAGTCTAATATCAGTTATTTTTCCTGATCCTCCCCCTCCTCCCACCTCCCACCCTCCAGCAGGCCCCAAGCTCACAAATTCTGAGAGGAGTGGGGGACCACGCAGGCCAGTGCAGCCCACTTCAGTTGTGAAGTTAATTTGCTCAGCAACTGGACAAAGCCCATAAGGAAGGGTGATGTATTTTAGTAGATTTAGTAATACTATCTTCCCAAGCCCTAAAATGCTCAAATCCTGCCAGCTGAAAATGGTGAGGAGGGACAGATGGGAACTCTGTGCAGCACTTGGTTATTAGCCTGGCTTCCGTCCCCTCATGGCAACTCTCTTATGCATGTGGGTAAAAGACCCTCAGCCTCAAGTCAAGCCGCCTCCATGAGGAGCCATCTCACTATTGACTGGCTAGTGTGGTGTATGGCCACCAGCTCAACTGAAACAAAATGTGGCTTTAAAACAAGTGTAAATCTCATACAACAGGCAAATGCAGAAGCAGCATGTCTTGCAAGTTGTAAAGAAGATGGTCACAATGTCGCTGGACTTCAATCTGGGTAGAAGACATGAGGGAACTCTGTCACTGAATCGCAGCAGAGTTCAAAGCCACTTGTAGACTATTTCATGTTACAGAAGGTGGCCTTTAGCTCCTAAGCAAAGGCCTCTGTTTCTCATTTCTTTCCTGTTCATCTTCTTGGTCATCCTTCTTCCTCAAGATAAAAGAGCCCAAGCAAAAGGCAGTTTCAATATTAATCTGACCAAAGTTTTGTGCAGTTTATTATCATCCAGGTAATCAGGTGCAACCCGATCTGCCTACCAGCCCCCCACCCCTGCTCTGTGTTTTCATTTAATAAATATTTTGGTCTACTTACTATGTGCTAAATTTTCTGGAGACCACAGAGTAAATGAGATAGAATCTTTATGTTAACAGCTAAGTTAGATTTAATATAACTGACAAAAATTAAAATTTCTGATTTCTTGTAAAAATATTTAGTATGTGTGAATGCATACTGAATGTAAAGTGGTTAACAAAAAATCACACTTGCACTCATGGAAGTCTTTTCATGAATTTGTCAGTTTCTTTTTTTCAATATTTCCCCACTTCTCTGGATAATGCATATCTGAACCTGGAAACTGATTCCCACTGCAGAAAGTGTTCTGAGCCACATCCTTTAGCTTCACTAGTGCAGGACCACCTGGGAGGATGGCCCAGCATCAGCTCAGCCCATGCTGTGATCAGCCACCTCCATGCACCCCACCAAGCAAGCTCCCTGGGTGATTCAGTCTCCACCACCAGGGCACCGACCTTTACTCTGTGTTCTCCTAGCTCCCTGTGGGGATGCTGTGCAAGACATCTCTATTGAGGATGCTGAATATGACATCTGTAATGAGGACACTGTACAAGACATCTCTAATGAGGATGCTGTAGAAGACATCTCCAATGAGGATGCTGTATACGAGATCGCTAATGAGGACACTGTATACGAGATCGCTAATGAGGACACTGTATACGACATCGCTAATGAGAATGCTGTATATGACATCGCTAACGAGGATGATGTATATGACATCGCTAATGAGGATGCTGTAGAAGATACTGCTAATGAGGACGCTGTATACGGCATCGCTAATGAGGACACTGTATAAGACATCTCTAATGAGGATGCTGTAGAAGTCATCTCTAATGAGAATGCTGTATACGACATCGCTAATGAGGATGCTGTATATGACATCGCTAACGAGGATGCTGTATATGACATCGCTAATGAGGATGCTGTAGAAGACATTGCTAATGAGGATGCTGTATACGACATCGCTAATGAGGACACTGTATAAGACATCTCTAATGAGGATGCTGTAGAAGACATCTCTAATGAGAACGCTGTATACGACATCGCTAATGAGGACGCTGTATACGACATCGCTAAAGAGGATGCTCTACAAGACATCTCTAAAAAAGAAGATGCTGCCA